GGCACTGTAATTACAAATTTTTCCTTCACTACACAGACGAAGGATGTTATTAACTTTGTAAGAAGCTGAAAATATTTTTTTCAAAGTTGGTGTTATATACTGTTTTATATCTTTGACTGTAATTTGACTTCCAAAGCTTTAAAGAATATTGGAATAAAAAGTATAGGAAAGGTTTTCACTTAATTTAATAAATACTTATTCTGTGCCTAATACTGAGGCTTTTGCTAGTTGATAAAATATCATCTATATTATCTATACTGAAAGAAAACCCTGTTTAATAGATGAGATAGATATAAATATACTTTTAAATATTCTGTGAGAGCAGAAGTAAAACAAAGAAGTGATTAATTTTACTCTTGAGTTTTAGAGAAGTTAAATTGAAGGATGTCATGAAGTTGGGTGATATTACTGGTTGTCTTAGTCACTTTCTGGTAGTTGGGACACAATACTAGAAATTTAAAGGAGGGCAATTTTGTTTTGACTTTTCTTCTTTCAAGGTTTTAGTCCTTAAATAGGCTGAGCTCAGGGCAGAATAGCAGTGGAGGAAAAACCTACTGTGGAAGAAACTGGCCTAAGTCATGGCAGCCAAGAAGCAGGGTAGAAGGGAGGCAGGTACACCTGTTCATGTCACACCAAGTGGTGACCCATCTCTTCCAATCAGACAGCCACAGCACTCCTGTGACCCAATCATCTTTTGCAAGTTTTGCCTATTAGTGCATGAGACTTTGGGGAAACATCTAGCTGTAAACCATCAACCTGGTTAAGAAAGACGTGTTCAAATGCACCAGCATTTGCTGCACCATATTTGGGAGAATTGTAAACAGTTGAAAATTGTTTGAATTTGAGAAGGTAGATGCAAAACTAAAGAGATGCTGAGTCCAGATTAAGAACTTTATATGCTTTATGAAGGAAATTTGACTTTATTCCCTTGACCCCTGTTACTTAAATTTAAGAAAAATCCATTAAAAACATAATGTAATCCCTTCTAAAACAATTTGTGACTATGGCAGCTTGCACATTCCTCCTTCCATGAAAATCACTTTAAGTGTATTGCAGAGTCAGAGAATATTTTGGAAATGACAGAGAGCTAGAATAGATGATAGGCACAAAAATCAAACTTACAGCACTGCCTATGTGAATGGGAAGAGCAACAGATTTAAGAAACTTGAGTAATTGAAAGAAGATTTCTCATATGTGTTGGAGCTTTGACCCAATTTATTTGCTTATATTTAGGTGAGAAGAAGAAACCTTTAAAGAAACCCTCCTTGAGAATTCCATGAACATATCAGCGGATTTCAGATTGGATAATGTATGTTATTTCACTTTACAAATATAGATGCCACTTATGGTTCTTTGAGGTAATTATAACCATAAACATATTAAATAAAGGAGAGAGGTAAGCTACCTCATAAGTTAAAATGATGAACTTATACTCTCCATTTAGAGTTTCGATGAAAGAGGCCCTTCACTTTAGAATTGATGTTATGTTCATTTGGGCCTTTATACTCCTTGAAATAGTCTAAGATCTACTGGTTCCAATTTCCTACCGATAATATTAAATTACTTTTGATCATCTAAAAGCTTTTTAAAAATTTGCCATAAATTTTGCCTAATGTCCCATTGTTCTTTAATATACTTATTTCCTTGCTTACATTGTAATATTTTCATATCTGATTTTATAACTTGGTCAATAGAGTAATACTTCCTAATTTCTTTTACATTCTGGGATAGGTAGAAAATGTAATGCATATACAATATGCAATCCAATGGATTAAGTTGCTTGCTTTCAGAGACCACAAGTTAGGTGTTCTAGCTTCCCATGCCTTTTATTAGATTTCTCTAAAGCTGGAATAAATTGCTATTTCCTCCCACTCACATTTGTAATGCATTCCACTTGGTTGAGATGCTCTGAATTACTGAATTACTTACTGGATCTCATAACAATGAGATGGAAGCCGGTACTGTATTCATCCAGCTATGGCATTTGACATGCTACATGGAAAAATATCTACTGGTTCAAGAACCAATTACTAGTGATTATATGGAGATTTTGCAAGATGGTATGTGTAACTCTGGATAACTGACAATCATTACTGAGACCTTATTGAGAATACATGTTTTATTGATATAGATTCAGTCTTTGATACAATACTAGAATACCATTTTAAAATTTTATAATAAGAACATTTAAGGCAAAAGAAATTCTGCATCTTGGCAAAAAGATAAATGATTTGAATAGACTTTAAATGACTGGAATATACACTTTGTGAAACCAGGAACATTCTTCTGTTTGATTAACTATTACCTATATCCCAGTGTCTGGTGGAGTTCATACTACATGGAAGAAATTTCCTAAAACTTTCTCAAGCAAATGAATGAATGAATTAGCCACAGGGTCACATAGTGGCATCATTAAAACTAGAGTTAAAATGTTTCAGCTCCTAGTTCAGGGCTTTGGACTACACCTCACATAGTTATCAATGCCTGTGAATAATTCATCATATGGCACAAGGCACAAAAGGCCACAGACAAATTTGGAATTGAATAGTTTAATTTTTGTAGCATTAACATCTATTATATTTATAAATAGAATATAACATGTTTGTCATAAAGCTTATTTTTATATTAATATATTTCTTTTTTCTATTGAGTTTATTGATACAGTTTAGGTATACAGTACAGTTACATTCATCGTTAGGATCTTGTACCTTTACATGACAGGTCTTGGTTCTCATTTTTTCCCCTTATTCCTGCCCTCCCTTCACCCCCTCCTCCCTTCCTTATTTACAAATACTTTATTTCCATTTTTTCATTATCTCATGTTTTTTTCTTTTACCTTATTACTTTTCCCCTACCCTTCCCATCTCCCTTACACCTTTAGCCCTTTTCTTCCTTTTTCATGTTGTCAATTATACCATTAGGATCTTATGTACAATTATAGTTTTTCATATATTTCTGTAAATATAAAAATAGATGTTTTAAAAATCAAAAAGTTGGCTTTAAGTAAGATTTTTAAAAACATTTATTTGCGATTATTGTTTTGTCATTTTCTTTAGAAATTAAATATATTCAGGTTTTACTTTATTTCTCATTAATGAAATGATGAGAGCTAAACTTTAAATAAGTAATTATAAATATGTTCAGTATACAAGCCTTAAAATCAAAGAGAAAACTGTTACTGAGAACTTATGCCACTCAAGAACCCATGAAACATGGATTAGCCTCACCTAAAGTAAAGGTGTCCTTGTTTACATATTTGAATATTTGCATATGCATGCCCTGAGCAAGATTTCAAAAATGTTAATTTTGCTATGACCACCTTAATTATAAATCCCCCAAATAGATACTTGAGAAATCTTTACACCACTTAATGTTATTAGCTCATTAATATTAGTCTTTCACCATAACTTATAGTGATATACAAAGATATTTTGGGGGGAATGTTAAATTGAATTATTGATTATAAAAAATTCAATATGGAAGTTTTCATAAACAATAGCTCAATAATCACTACAAGCTTGACAGACTGATAAGAAATATACTGTCATCTTTTTAAGCATTTCTCCAACCAGGCTGTTGTGTTTACAAATCTACAAGTACATTAAAGATTTAACAGTTGACTCATTGTGATAGTTAAGATGTATAGAAAAGGAGAGTTTACAGAATTTAGGGAAATACATGAATGATTTGATGTTCTTTTAAAAGCTTTGTGTGGAGCTGGGGATTTAGCTCAGTTGTTCAACTGCTTGCCTTGCAAGCTCATGGTCCTGAGTTTGATCCCTGGTACCCAAAGAAAAGCTTGACTGCAAGTGCTTCAGTCACCCAGGGACTCTGAGGGCTACTGGAGACCTCAGGGTGAGGCAGGTGCGGGGACTCGAAGACTCAGAGCCCCAGAATGACTACATCATCATCATCATCATCATCATCATCATCATCATCATCATCATCTCAAAAGAAAACAGAACCCCCCCAAAAGAAAAATGGCCTTGGGTAAAAAATGGATGAGTGCTTTTATTGAGAGAAATAAGGCACCCTGCTTAAATTTTGTAAATCAGTTTGTCTCAACAGACTATAGCCAGATGAACTGAGTAAATGGAGAAATCTACTGAAAAAGATTCAAGAGTGAAGCTGCTAATTTGAAACTTTATACTTTGGCAATAGACAAAGGTGCTGATGTGACAGATATGGTTCAACTTGCTGTTTTTAATTAGCAGTTTTATAGATTAGGAATATAGTATCACTGAAGAAATGGTTTCTTTGATGCTATTAAAATACAGCTAAGGGCTGGGGATTTAGCTCAGTGGTTCTGCCACCTGCCTCACAAGTGCAAAGTCCCAAGTTCGATCCCTGGTACCAAAAACAAAAACAAAACAAAAGAGCCAAATCTCTTCATTTGTATGAAACAGTAAAGATAGCAGTGACTTTCTTCAAACTTTGGTAACATTTCTGGTATAGCCATAGTGGTATCCTGTGATAGTTGGTAAAGAAGAGGGATTTAAACTGGGTGTGATAGTGCACTCCTATAATCCTCTCACTCAGGAGGCTGAGGTAGGAGGATCACTGCAAGTTTGTGGCTAGCCTGGGCTACATAATGAAGTCAAGGCCAGCCTGAACTACAGAGTGAAACTTTGTCTCAAAAAAAAAAAAGAGAATTTATAAATTAATAAGATGATGCAATTGTTGCTTGAAAGTCACATGTAATAAAGTAATGCTGCATCATATAGCAAGGAAATTCAAGCTCCAAAAATGGATGTTATAGGATCTAGGCATTGTGGTGCATGCCTGTAATCCCAGTACTCAGGAGGCTGAGGCAGGAGAATTCTATGAGTTCAAATAGTGAGTACTAGACTAGGCTGAACTATGTAGGGAGACCCTGTCCCTGTCTCAAAACCAAAACAAAAAAAAGATGTTATGCAAGTCATGATCAAAGCTGTGAATTTCATGAGATCCTAGGGATTGAATAACTAATTCCATGAGTTCCCTAAGAGTCAGGATGCTTTGCTCAGTTTGGCAGTGCATATACTAAAAGTGGGATGATACAGAGAAGATTAGCATGGCCCCTGCGCAAGGATAACACTCAAATTTGTGACGCATTCCATATTTATTTTTCATGCTTAATCAGGAATCTTGTTATGTGACTGCTCTAATGAGTCAACAATAAATGTTTTGAAACATTAAAAAAAAGTAAGGATGCTAATTATGGGGACATCATTTTTATGAAGTGAGGTAGCCAAATTGGAATAATCTGCTGAAAAGATTTTGTGAATTGTGAAATGATACTGTCATTTATGGAATCAAGGAATCTGAAGATGAAAATTCCTCACCAGTTTTGTATTTTTTTTATTTGACTCATTGAAATAGGATAAACATATCATTAAGGTGAAAGTTAATTTATTTGTGCTGTATTTTAATACAATATACAACACTGTGTACAATACAGTTTCCAAAATGGAAAGGGTAATTGGGAAAAAGAGTGGGATGTACCACATACAGGTGCAAATTCCCAACGATGAGTGTTATCATTATGTATGCTTCAATTGTACCAATAAACAATTTGCTATTTAAACAAAAAGTTTTGTGGGTTATGGATCACATTAAAGAAATGATATTTTATTCACATATAGAGAGGAGTAAAATGATTAGTTTGAGTTAGTATATAGTCATTTTGTATAAACCTAGCCAAAAAACTTCATTTAACCTTTGACAGGGTTCTATTAGTATAGGAGAGGCAGTGCACCACACATTTCACTGAATCTTTACATTTTTAGTACCTGAAGACAAAATGGAAATGTTCAGACAAGATGGTTCTAAAGAGGAGTATACTTTTAATTATGCAAATGTAACAAGAATTTCCACATAGAAATTGATCCAATATTTCACAACCTTTTAAATTAAAATTTATTAATAACCTAAGCACAGGAGCACATTTATAAAATGGATCAACCAACATTCATCTAATATTGCAAAATTGATAGCTAATATAGTCTGAAATAGAATCAGAATCCAAAAGTATCTCTAAAGTTGGAAATAATGACTGAAATAAGTAGGATTTATATGAAATGTATTTGTATGAAATGTTTAAAATAGAGAAACCTAAGAAGACAGAAGGTAGATTAATTGTTAGCAGGGGCTGGAGGAAGTGGTGAATGGGATTGATTAAAACTGAATGTTAATTTTTAGCCTAATGCAGTGGTTTGGAATTAGATAGAGGTGATGGTTGCACAACTTTGTGACTATAATAAAATCTACTTAACTGTATGCTTTAAAATGTTGGATTTTGTGGTATATAAATTATATCTGCAAAATTTAAAAAGGCATTTACTGGTAATAGTTTGGAACAAAAGAAAACAAGCAGAAACTGACTATAGAAAAAGAATTTTGATGCTGTACATGTAGTCACATGAAACTTTAGTTGCATTCTTTTTTTTTTTTTTTTTTTTTTTTTTGGTATCAGGGATTGAACTCAGGCCCTTGCACTTGTGAGGCAGGCTCCAGAACTGCTAAGCTAAATCCCCAGCCCTTTAGTTGCATTATTATTAAGCCATGTATTTAAAAAAATGAGTGAGTATAGAATCATATTATTCTCCAATACTATTTAGCATTGGTTAAGATACTTTAACTAGTGTTTATGTTGAAAATATTGTAACATGTTTACAATGACATGTATCAGGTGGAAAAGTTGGATAATCAACCACCTGGATGCCCTGAACTGATAGCACAAGAAATGACAAAACAGATGAATGAGGCTCTAGAAAAAATCAAAACCGAAATAATTTCCCAGATAACTACAGAAATGGAGGACAGAATAAAAGACATGATAAGATACTCTAGAACAGAAACAAATAAAAACATAGATGAATTCAGGACCATGCCGGCCATTAATACTCAGACTAGGAAAGAAATGGAAACCATGAATGCCCAACATAGGAAAGAAATGAAATCCATGACATTTGGATTCAAACAGAAATCCAATAATAGCCTTCCTGTTCACAAATAACAGAATCAGTGGGAGAGAAATGAAGGAAACAGTCACTTTCATAATAGCATCCAAAAAATGAAATACCTAGGAATAAATCAAGTGAAAGAAGCAAAAATCCTCTACATTGAAAACAACAGCACTCTGAAAAAAGAGATTGAAAAGGATATCAAAAAATGGAAAGACATCACTTGTTCCTGGGTAGGAAGAACCACCATAGTGAAAATGGCCATACTTCCAAAACTGCTGTACAGATTCAATGCAAGCCCTATTGAAATCCCAACAGCCTATTTCACAGAAATAGAAAAAACAATCCAAAAATTCATTTGGAACTTGAAGAGACCTAAGATAGCAAAAGCAATTCTGGGCAACAGAGACATGACAGAGGGTATCACAACCCCAACATGAAACTGTACTACAAAGCCACTGTGATAAAAACAGAATGGTACTGGGAAAGAAATAAACCTGGGGATCAGTAGAATAGATTAGAAGATGCAGAATACACTCCAGACATGCTTAGCTACCTCATCTTTGACAAAGGAGCCAACCATCCTCAGTGAAGGAAAGATAGCCTCTTTAATAAATGGTGTTGGAAAAACTGGATTTCAACCTGCCAAAGATTAAAAACTAGACCCCTATCTTTCACCCTGCACTAAATTAAAATTGAAGTAGATTAAATATATAAATATTAAAGCAGAAACACTAAACTTACTGGAAGATAAGTTAGATAGAACTCTTGAAGATATTGGCATAGGAAAAGATTTTATGAATGAAACCTCAGTAACAGAGGAAGTAACACAAAGAATCGACAACTGGGATCCCATCTTTTAAAAAATCTTCTGCACTGCAAGAAAGACCACCAACAGGCCTAAGAGGCAACCTACAATGTGGGAAAAAAAAATTTACCAGCTATTCTTTAGACAAAGTCTACTTTCTAAAATATATGAAGAACTTTAAAAAGTCAGACCCAGAAATTCTAAACATCCCAGTTATAGTCAGTGAAATTGTAAATGTAGTTAAGTATTTACCAACAAAGAGAAGCCCAGGTCCTGATGTCTTTACTTCTGAATTCTATATGACATCTAGAGAACTACTGCCGAGGCTCTTTAAATTCTTCAATGAAATTGAAAGGGAAGCAATGCTTTCAAATGCATTCCTGGAAGTAAGTGTTACTTTGATTCCAAAATCAGGGAAAGACCCAACTAAAAAAGAGAGCTACAGGCCAATCTCCCTAATAAACATAGTTGCAAAAATTCTCAGTAAGTTATTGGCAAACCGAATACAAGAAGATCATAGACCGTGACCAAGTCAGATTTGTTCCAGGGCTTCAAGGATGGTTCAACATAAGTAAATCAATAAAAAATCAGATCCCCCAAATTTAAAGACCCAATAAAAAATGGCCATCTGAAATTAACAGACATTTCTCAGACAAAGAAGTAAAAGCACCAAATATGTGAAAAAATGTTCAACATTGCTAGTCATTTGAGAGATGCAGATGAAAGCAACACTAAGATTTTTCCTCACCCCAGAAAGAATGGCTGCTATCAAGAAATCAACCAATAAAAAATCCTGGTGGGATTGTGGGTAAAATGGAACCATTATTCATTGTTGGTGGGAGTGCAGACTGGTGCAACCACTGTGAAAATTAATATGAAGATACCTCAAACAACTAGAATTAGAAGTTCTATTTGACTCAGCTATTCCTCTGCTGGCTATCTTCCCAAAAATATTAAAATAATCATATGTCACAGTGATCCATGCTCACCCATGTTTATAGCAGCATAGTTTGTAATAGCTAAAACTTGGAAACATCCCAATTGCCCATCAACTGGAGACTGGATAAAGAAGATGTGTTATTTTTTAAATAAATAAAATGGAATACTACTTAGCCATAAAGAATGAGAAACTAGAGACATTTATAGCTAAATGGATACACATTGAAGCCATATTATTAAGTGAAATTAAGAGGACACACATTTAAAAATACCAAATGCTTTCTCTGGTGTGAAAAACTAAAAGTATAAACAAGGATTAAAATGTATAATTGATATTGTGTAATAGGAAGAAAAGATCTAAAGGAGTAGGGGAAGTGTGAGGGGTAGGGGTCGGTGAGAAGGGAAAAATCATGAGAAAATGAAGAACATGGAAAAGAAGTCTTTGTAAATAGAAAAGCGTAGAGGGGGTGACGGGAGGGCAGGGGAATGGGGAAGAACAAAAACCAAGATATGTCATGTAAAGGTACAAGATCCCATTGATGAATGTAACTATATTTTATACTTAAAATGTACCAATAAACTTAAGCCAGTATTATATTCAACAGAATTTTATGTACCATAAGTCCTAATGATATAATTGACAATGTAAAATAGGAAGAAAAGGGCTAAAGGTGTAGGGAAAGTGGAAAGGGTAGGGGAAAGGGGAAGAAAAAAATAGGAGAAAATGAAAAAATAGAAATAAAGTATTTGTAAATAAGGAAGGGAGGAAGGGGTGAAGGGAGGGCATGGATGAAGGGAAAAAATGAGAACCAAGACCTGTCATGTAAAGGTACAAGATACCAATGATGAATGTAACTGTACTGTGTACCTAAAATGTACCAATAAACTCAATGAGAAAAAAAAAAGAAAACACAGCATTTTAAATAAAAGCAATTGATTGGGAAGAATTCAGTAAGGCTGGATAAAAAGGAATTGTTAAAAAACACTAGAGTTTGCTTGTGTATTATCAACAAACAGTGGAAAAGAGAGTAAACTCACAATATGAATCTAAATTATAAAATACTCAGAAGGTAAATTCTATTGCATGCCTGAAGACAAAACTATAGGTCTCAGAGTGGGGTGATTGTATAAAATTTCATGACAGCAATTTGTAAAAAAGAAATGGAAGTTGTCAATAGGCATATAAGACATTCAAATGTACAAGTAATAAGGGGCATTAAAATATGAGAGGCTGATATAACCTAGTAATTAAATGTGCTTTCCATTCAAGGACTAATGATCAGGGTCTAAAGTTTCATTGTGCTGCTGATTAGCAATTTTCCAGTGTCTTTCAAAACCCTTAATTATTGCATAGTGTTTGGTTCAGGAATCATTGTTCTCAGGATATATCCTAGAGAAATAAGTATGTAAATAC